GTAGTACTCTTCCGTGTGGTTGGAATTGGCTCACCAACCCTGTGGGAAGGCGGAATGAGGAAGTGAAGGGCAAGCAGCTTTTGTTTTTATAAATGTGTTCAGAAGTTGCACACATACCTCCACTCACCCTGCATTGGTCCTGTCTAGCTTCTAGGGAGGCTAGCTAAGTGTAGCCCCATGCCCTGCTTAAACTCAAGGGATTCTGTTACTAAAGAGAAGAAGGTGAAAATGATGGATACTAGGGGACCATTCTTTACTAGCAAGTCTTTACTAATAATAGATACTTTTATTTTTAAAAAGTGCACACATATTTGAAAGTGGCCATAAGAGACAAGGACATTTAAGTTTATAATATAATAAAGATAATAAAACTTATTAGTTGGGGGTGTTGGGCATAGTATAAACCTGAAAGATTCAGTGTAATTGTCACTGCCCATGTTATAGTTCAACAACATCTCAGTTAGTCACTACAGTGGGTTAAGAGCCATTTCTGGTTAACTGAATTAGTCAGATTTTGTTGTGAAAATGTATAAAGCAAGGATACTTCTGAAACTTGTCTCTTCAGAATTTTGTGTGGGGTATTAGTTTTACTTTGATAATATATAGGTTTTTTATATATCTTATACATNTTTAATTTCTAACTTAGTTGGTAGTTATGCTTAGTGGAAGATAAATCTATGATGTTTAAATAGTTTTCCCCCCTTTTCTATATGTGAACTTGCATTTTTAAAAAAATGTATAATAGAACGTGGAATCCCAAGAGCGAGATGAACATGAAGAAGTGGGGATTCTAAACCCAGTTGTGGAAAGAGAAGAAAAATTCGTTAAAGGTCAAGAACTCCATTTTGTAAAACAGGAGGTTGAGAAGCTGGAGGATGGTAAGAAAAAGAGTTTGTTTAAGCAAGTGATGTCAGCATCCTTTGGGAAAGAAAAGATTAGCGTCCCCTAATATCTTCCAACTGTGAATTGGTTATACAGAATGAGAAGAGGTTGATGCAGTGGTAGGGGATGGTATATCAGGAGTCACAAACATTTGAATGAAATTATTAAGGAAAGAAAAAAATTGAAGACTGTAAGTCGGTTGCTATTTGGGGTTAGGGAATAAGGATAAGTTACCTTCAGAAAATTTGCATGACATAGAATTCAGATGAGAGAAAAACCATATTTTTGGTGTATTAACTAAAGCTTGATGAAGAAATAACTGAAAAATAACTGTCTTTATTGGCTTAGCCTTGAGAATCTATAGTCCATAAACTAACTTAAACCTAAAAATTGAGTTGTGAGGTCCCAAATATATTCCTATAATTTTTCTTTGGTTTTAATGTGTCAAGTAAATCTTTAATGTGTTTAACCATTAGTGTGGAAGTTTAGTGAACCAACTCATAGTTTCAGATACTGGAAATAAGGTTCAGGAATAAATTTATTTCCATCTGGATAAAATATCTTAAAGTTATGGTCAAGAGGGATCCCAGACTCTAAACTTTTGAATGTATTCTATTAGTTATACAGTAGCTGCTTATAGAGAAATCCTTTTATTTTCCCTTGAGCTGAAGTTTAAGGAACATAAAATCATGACCGAATTGTTGCTTAAATTTGTGTGTGCATGTGCAGGCATGAGCATGTATACAGTGTAACTGTTGAAATAGAAGCTATATTTACAGCATTGATGGCAAACTCACAGAACAAGATGCTTTCACACATTACAGAATAGAAAATTAGGTATTATGGTCAGTTCTGTCTAGGTAAGGGAAAAAGGAATAAAGTAGTGGAAGACTGTTACTTGTCTTTGTCCTTTGACTGATTTTTTTTTCCTGGAGTCTATATGGAATGATCTCTAACATCAGTGAGACTGTATGCCATTTACTAAAGTTACCAGATTTGTAGTGTTATTTATTTTAATATTTAAAATTTTTTCATGTGGGTGTAATTTCAGAATTATAGAAAAGTGACAAGAAGAGCCAAAAAATTATTTAAGAGTGAGTTGTATACCTCATGCCCATACACTTGAATATTTCCACATGTACTTCCCTAAAACAAGGGCATTCTCTTGTATCATTCCAACATAGTTTTCAGCTTCAGGAAATTTAACTTTGATACAACACATTTATCTAATCTACCATCTCTATTATGATTTTGTCAGTTGATTTACGGCATTTTTTTCCTTCTAGGACATGACCATGAATTGCATTTAGTTTTCATGTCTCTCAGTGTCCTTTAATCTGGAGCAGCTTCTTGTTTGTTTGGTATTTTTAATTATATTTTGTGAGATTAACATTTTTGATGAATATGGATGCATTTTTAAAAATAGAATTTCCTCATTTGGGGTTTGTCTGAAGTTATCTCTTAATTAGATTCAGGTTAATGTATCTTCTTCAGAAGAATTCACATACAAAAGTGATGTCATGTCCTTAGAATATGACATCTAAAAGTTTAATTTATTTTTAAGTTTAAAATTCTTTGCTCCATCTGTCCATTTATTTATTCATCCCACTGTCCACCACTAAGTATATGGTACTATATTAGTTATTAAAAAAAAAAAGCAGAGAACCTTCTCCCCCATCCCTATATTGAAGAGCAAATTTTTTTTCTGTAAATGTGAATCTTAAATGCGATACAGTTAAATATATTATTTTCTAAACCTAGAATATCAAGTATAGAAATGGAATTTATGATTTCT